ACTTGGTGCTTCTACAGAGGTTACCAGTTCTCTGTATCAGCGTTTGGATTTGGTGCCACAGTAGGCGAAGTACTGTCTCGGCGTTTCGACTTATTTTGCTATTACAGACCAGTAAAACTGTTATAGCGTTTTTGAATTTTGTGCCACAGTAGGCAAAGACTGTCCTGGCGGTTGGATATGGTGCCACAGCGGGATCAGGCTGTCTCGGCGTTTGGATATAGGATTTTTGATTTTTGTTGTTTTATTTGGTGTTTTTAATCGTTTTTGGTTTCGTTTGGTAGTCTCCCTATTAGTCATCGGGGCGGTCTGTGCGTTCTCGAAGATTTTCGCATTTCGAACACGTCGCAAGAATACCGACAATACCCCCTCTAGCACCTCAACGAGAGGGCTGCACACATTAGAGGTGGCGTAAATTGGTTTCTCGCGACTTGTTACCCCTATATCTGATAGAAAATTGACGAGTTTTGATGAAAGATTTCTGCTTAAAAGTTGGTGTGTGACGGTAGAACTTCTATAGATAGTAAAGTTCAGAGTTTTATCATATTTATTCTTTTGAAACACTGCAGGTACCATGCACATAGTCCAGCTCATGAGCCAGCAATCGAACCGCCCATTCAATCGAACCCATCACAATTGATATGGTGAAGTGGTATCGGGGCGATGATATGTACCCAGTCATAGGGCGTTTAGCTGGGCTTTCGTGTCTACAGAATGATCATTAGAGATTGGACTTTGTTCACGACACGCGTTTAATTTACATCGAGTCAAGAAGAAAGCTCATAGCTTGAAGATGCTATCTAGATTTCTTCTCTCAAGGATGATGTCAAGGGCTACCGTTCCAAGCATCTTAAACGTCCTGTCTCGCTAGTCATAGCATGGGGGTTTGATAGCTGGATATAGTTCTCGATCGCTCCAACTTTGAATTCCAATGCTTTTCAATGCCAGGAAATATTGATTCTTTTCCAGAAAATGGTTTGTCAGACAGACCCAGTCTTCATGAGATAAGAGTGAGTGCTGAGACAGGACGTAACGGCAGCTGAACACAAGTCTCAGCACGTGGACGATCCGGATAAGGATATGGCGACCAGGAAGTGTTTACAAGGAGTCATCACGCCGTTTCTTTTCTTGAACATACTATTCAAATAGCCCCTCAGCTGGCGGACGTAAACAGTGCGTAGACCACGAGATATCAATGGTATACGCTGCGTATGCAAACGTTTGACTTGCAGCAGTTGTAAGAGAAGCTGCACAGGTGTCTTCAGCACCGCCCTAGTGCCGCTGGATTGGCCGGGCCTTTGTAGAATGAGACAGGGATTGTATTCAATCTATCTGACCAAGTAACTAAACTGACTAAGGGCAGAGGTGGCAGGTATCTATATACCTGGGAGTCAGCGCTTGTCCGTTTAATGATTACGTAATCCAGTTACGTAACCGGGATAGTCACGTGACTAAACTCAATCCAACAGCCTTCGTCGCAGCGCACCCAACTAACCAAACGAGGCCGAGCTTATGCCATTATCTATGGGAAGGAGCATGGCCACCACCAGTTGCTCGCATCGCGCACTCAAAACACAAGTAGATAGCTAGTTCCGTACATACGTGCCGTACTCGGAACGTTGTAAGCTGGTCTCAAGAGACCTATAGGTTGTACTCTCGACCCTAGTCGTCAGTAGCTGGCAGCCCGACGACAAGGCCACTATCGCAGAGGCCGCAATACGACGGACGATGCCAACGAGTGCCAACGAGTGCGGACAGTAACGGCCACATGTTCTTGGCACGGAGTTTCGCTGACAGGTAATATTCGGTGCTTTTAACGTGGCAAATGCCATTTAAGCTGATATAGAAGTCAGAAGAGACACAACCGACGCCTGTGCATTCATATGCTCCTGCTGTCTTTCCAGCCTGTTTGTCTATACCGAGAAATGCGGAGTAGGCTGCCTTCGTAATGTCGTCACAAAAAGGAGTTTGGTTGGTGAAAGTGAAAGTCTCATAACTAGGCAATCTCCCAGAATAGTAATATGTGATGGCACTATCACCGCCAGGATCCCGCTCCGCACAACATGTCAAACTCTAGTTGCAAACGCCCATCTTTGCTTCACCCAAGCGCACGGTTTTCCTAGTAACAAGCACCTCCGCCGTTTCTATTTCCTTGTCAACGGGCATAATCGCAATCCGTCAACCGTTCCAACCACATTTCATCAACCACAATAAACGCGTTCCCGTCAAGAGTCACTCATCAGCAGAATGGTAAGCGGTTCCTCTATTTTCTCCCCTTACTTTAGCTAACTATCGCATACAGTCTGGACGCAAACAGTCTTCTTCTTCTAGTGCCAATGGTGGTAAACCATTGCCCCATGGCTCCACGCTCAACGAGCATCGCGTTAGCAAACGTGTCAAAGCTCTCAAAGCGCACGGCAAAGCGAGAGTCACACTTCTGCACGCCCAAGCAAGAGCTGCGGAGGCGGACGCCGATGTCGAAGCAGCAAAGCTTCGGTTTGAGGCCGCGACGATGGAGCTCGAGAAGACGAACGAGGATACCCTCGAACAGGACAGAGACGAAGAACTCGAGGAACACAAGATAAAGGAAGAGGAAGAATATGGGGCGGGCTTGGAAGGCATGGAAGATGATGTGTCCGTTTACGATGTATAAGATGTTGCTCATCAGCCTGAACTCTTTTACACGGTTGTCTCACAACCGATTGTAACACACAGTTCAACGCCCAGAAGGCGAGTCCGTTCAGCACCCAAAAAAACACTCGATTACCTATCAGCCTTTTTTCGCCGACCGCATCCCTCGCCCGCCATCTTCACGCGGAGCCTCCTTGGCACCTACAGCAGCTATCTCAGGGGAAAATCCTGTTAGTAGTCTTAGGGACACAGCAAAGCAGAATCGAAAAAAAAAATCGATGGATGTGAAATTCTCGTGGGAATATGCGGGTGGCAAGTTTTCTAAAGATTTCTGCCTTCAAAAGCAACGTGACCACGATATGAGTCCCCTCCCACACAATCCTCTCAGATAATGCGCTTATCTCCTGCCTTGCTCATCTCCCACTCACCCGCCCGGAGTGCTTTGGCAGTCATGTTTAGCACCCTGAACTTCGTTGTTTGTTTTTATTGTGGAATGTCGATTCATGGTACACGGATTTCGCTGAAAATGCATACCATGATATATTGTGGGCGGAAGCTTGTAGTCACCCTAGTTATCTATACTATGTAGCCACGCTGTTTTACTAATTTGGTAGCTTGGATGTATAACATAGCACACGTGTTGAATGTCATAGACACCACCGTAGTCATGGTATGTAAGCTACGTGACCTTCTTTCTATGACTTCAATGATCAGCCTATCGTGTTCATGTGCGGATCAGCGTCGGCATCACGCATGGTAAGCTTCTTCATGGAGGTGTAGCGATCGATCAACTGTGTATCCAGGCCGTTGACCTGCTCGAAGACGTCGACTGCTGCCTCTTGGAGCGCGTCGTCCGAGCTTCGGTCGGTACATGTCGAGACTTTCCGCTTGCTGCTTAGGGATCCTGTAAAACTTTGTCCTCATGGTGCGGCCTCGAGGATTGGTCCAGGATGCAACAAACAGCTCACTGTCCTCCCAATTGGAGGGTCTGGGTAACGTGACTCGCGCAATCACACGGGCTTCGTCCTTTGGGATGGAGGCGGTAGCCATCAAACCCTTGTACTCCGTCCTGTCTTTGACTTCCCCTAGGATAGTGAAATAAGGTACGTCAAAGCTGCCATTCTCAAACCAAGACACATCCCACGCGACGACCTCGCCTTGCTGGACTTGAGAGCGGTGTATGAGACTGTGCGCCCCTAGAGGATCGCCCTTGTTTGTTAGAATAATGTAGATGCAATCCTCAGAGCCCGGGTCGAGCGATACGTCACTCTGGAACAAGATTGCAACTGGTGACCTGTCCATCTTGGAGTAAAGGCTCCCCAGGTGAGCCTGGAGACCTCGGAGAGCAATGCTCGTGCTTCAAACTGTTAGCATGCATGCTCCTGTGACAAAACGAGGGCGCAGTCCTACCTAGCGTTCGTAAACGCGTTTTCCGTTATCTGGCCATGGAACAGATGATCGCGCAGCATTTCCTTGAACGTTTCGACGTTGTCTGTCTCCAAGAGACCGCCGCCAGTCTGCAGTATAGCCAGTGGCTCTTTTCCGGTTATTGCAGTTATCTGTGCGCATATTTCCTTCAGCCAACCGCGCAGCAGCTCGCGGCTTTGGTCACGATGGTGCTTCCAAGTGTCTCCCAATCGCAAGATCTTCGGATACAACTTCGCAGCATTGACGGGATCTGTCCTGGCAAGCTTGACGTAGTCCTCAAGGCCATCCCAGTCTGTATCGTCCAAGTCACTAAAGCTATCGATGAGGCATTGTATCTCCTGTGTTCGTCCGTGAATACAGGACTGTGATGCGAAGAGTTCGTACTTGTAGTCCGCTCTATCGCTGCATATGCGATGCAATGAGAAGTCCTGAAAAGAGGGTCAGTAGTTTCACAGAGGCGGAAGGTTGGGGGAAAAAATGCGTACGCATGTTGACCCACCGGCGTCGAAGATGGCTACCCATTGATAATCGGCCAAGTCTAGCATGTTGTCGTGAACAGACCCTAGTAGTGCCATCTCTGACTCGGGCATTTCTGATATCTTGATGTCGGCATCCTTTACGTTGAACCGTCCTACAAATCCTCTTGCCGGCTGGAAAAGCGCTGTAAGAGCGGGTTCTTTTCGTTTCATTGAGAGGCCCGACGGAAGGGCAATAGCCGGCGTCAATCGCATTGGAGAGGAGCCTTGCGTAGCAGGCATTGCCCATTTCACTAAGGCAGGCTTATGCGCGTTGTAAAGGGTGTTGAAGATCTCTTCGAAAAAGGGCTGGAAGAGCTCGGAGAGCTGCTTGCCGCTGTCAGCAGCCTTCCTATTGTCTTCGTCGCTGTAGAGGATTTTCTTGATTGGCCGAAAGACGGAGGTCGTATCGTCGCAGTGGTCGTGGATGCGTCGAATTGCGGCTGAATTGCCATGCGTTTGCACTAGGCCATCTGTAATCGTGACGGCAGGCACGGGCAACCCATCCAGCGATTCAAATTCTGTCTTGTTGCCGGTGCTGGACTCCCATCTCACGGAAACCTTTGGCTTGTGGGAGCCAATGTCGATGCATAGGAAAAGGTCGCAGTGTTCATTGGGTGGAAGCTTCTTGGACAGCACGGTTTCATCTTCGCATGTAGGGCACAACACTGGTTCTTGGAGCGCGTCGTACAATGTGCCATCTTCCAAGATAAAGGGCTGATCATGTCGGGCGCTAGTACACTCAGTATGGAACACGTTGTCGCAGCGGCGACAGTGAACATAGTTTTCGGCTTTTAAGGGGTTGCCACACGCTTTGCATCTGGTGTTTGCTTCCACCAGCTTGCCTGTAGTGCTGTAGTAAGAGCGAGTGAAGCGCAGTTGCCACTGAAGGTGTGTCTTCTAAACACGACCTTTGGCTTCTGAGGACCATCGCAACCCAAGGCATGGGTAGACGGCGTGCTCTGATACAGAGAGCATGTCGATGCGCGCCTCAGGAGACGGCCTGGTTATGTCATACACATGGCGGAAGTTAGCGATATACTCGCCAGGAGTAGCCCAATCTTGCGATTGCAGCTCTGAGATGGTCGCGACTGGGCGCATCAGCACACCCTTCTTTTTGCTTATCATTGCGATGATGCCGTATCCTTGTTCCCCTGTCGACTCGACGATGCGTTCATCATTACTGGCAGACATGCCTTCAAGTAGGGCTTCATAGCATTCTGCACTTTGTAGCAATTGTCCGGCAGCTTTGGCGTATGTCGGGTTCCTTGGCGGTTTCCGAGCCGGCATGGTAGAACGGGCAAGGCTACGTAGTTCGAGAGGCGGTGGATTTTTTTTTTTTTTTTTTTTTGTTCCA